AAGAAGTGGAGGCGAGGGAAGGGCACCATGTTGACTGCCAGCTTGCGGAGGTCGGCATTAAGTTGACCTGGGAATCGCAGGCAGGTGGTGACTCCGCTCATGGTTGCTGAAACAAGGTGGTTCAGGTCGCCGTAAGTAGGTGTGGTAAGTTTAAGTGTGCGAAAGCAAATGTCGTAGAGTGCTTCGTTGTCGATGCAGAAGGTCTCATCGGTGTTCTCCACCAGTTGATGCACAGAGAGCGTAGCATTGTAGGGCTCCACCACTGTGTCTGACACTTTGGGTGAAGGCATGACGCTGAAAGTGTTCATGATGCGGTCGGGGTACTCCTCACGGATCTTGCTGATGAGGAGGGTGCCCATACCAGACCCGGTGCCTCCGCCCAGGGAGTGCGTGAGCTGGAAGCCCTGCAGGCAGTCACAGTTCTCGGACTCCTTACGTACCACATCCAGAACTGAGTCGACTAGCTCTGCTCCCTCTGTGTAGTGGCCTTTGGCCCAATTGTTCCCAGCTCCACTTTGACCTGAAAGAAAGCCCATGTGTCCCATTTTAAACACAGAGCTTGATAAAAATTGGGTTGGTTTCATTCAGGGCTCTCCAACCCTGCTCCTGGAGTTACCGTCCTGCAGATTTCAGTTCCAACCCCAACCAAACACACCTGTACCAGCTAATCAAGGTGTTCAGGGTTACTTGACAATTAGAGGCAGGTGTGCTGGAGTAGTGTTGGAGCTGAAGTCTGCAGGAAGGTAGCTCTCCAGGAGCAGGGTTGGAGAGCCCTGGTTTAGTGTTTTCCAACCCTGCTCCTAAAGGCACCCCAAAACTACAAATTTTCGAATTTTCCTAATCAAACACACCTGATTCCACTCATCAACACGTTAGTAGAGACTCCAAACCCTAAAATGGGTCGGTCAGATAAGGGAGACATCCAAAATGTGTACTGTTGGTGTGCCTCCAAGAACAGAGTTGGGAAAAACTGGGTTAGTGGACCCAAAAATTGTTACTTACTCACCCCAGTGTTGTCCTAAAGCTATGGTGGAACACAAAATATTCTACAGCATGGGTCTCCAACCCTGCTCCTGGAGAGCTGCCGTCCTGCAGATTTCAGTTCCAACCCCAACCAAACACACCTGAACCAGCTAATCAAGGCGTTCTGGGTTACTTGACAATTACAGGCAGTTGTGTTGGAGCAGGGTTGGACTGTAGGACAAGTTTGCAGGACTGTAGCTCTCCAGGAGCAGTTGGTTGAGATCCCTGGTCTACGGAGTATGATGTATGATAAGAGCTATGATAAAAACAGCACCAAAAAGTCGTCCAGACAATGTGATCTAGCCGTGTAAGGACTAGATGGAAATGTAGGTCACTATTTAGATCACAGTTCTCTCTTCCAGCCAGTTCTCCAATCCCATTCAAATTTGGCATGTCAAGTTGCACCAAGTTGGATATTAGACCCGAATTGGATTTAGTCAGTATATAAGTTTAAAGGATAGGTGTACTATGGTTTTTTTACAGTCCGTTCCATCTCGAATAAAGACAGCAATATACCAACCGGAAAGTTCTGTTTCATTCTTCGTTCAGGGGCTAAAAAAATAAATGCAAAATACTTTAGCAGCGGTATACTGTTTACAAACATTATGATGCCACCTATGCTGTTGGGTGTGATGTTTACTTTAAAATTAATATGTAAATATGTGCTGTTTTCTTAAAAACACAACAAACACTCAATAAGAATGATGAGAGGGGTGTAGTCGAGAAAGCATCTGATCTTAGGGCTGTGGATATGTTTGCACCAGTTTTGCAATTCGGCAAAAATTCATGTTTATTTATATAGTGCTTTATTGCTTCAAAGCAATAAGTATTGCATAAAACAGTGTCAAAAAGTTCTTCAGTTTCAGGAATAAGAAATTCGATTAAAATTGCACCATCAACTATAAAGCAGCTCTTCTGTGTGTTCATGTTTTTACTTCTGTCTAACCTCGATGGAAGTTTGCGCTGACAAGCTGTTTGAACCAACAAAACAAACTCCAAATGAACATCGTTTGGCCGGATTAAGTTCAAAATGATGTTACACCCATTCGTTCTTAGATTTCGATTAAAGTATTTTATCTTGGCCTTAAACCTTTGAAAGTATGTTTCATTTATAGTGTGCATAGATGGATGGATTCAATGCATGCACACTACCTAGTGGATCCTTCTATTTGAGCATTCAATCATAGCACATGCTGTTGTCTGCGTACAAGTCTGCGTGGACAGAAAATTTGTTTTTTTTGCTAATGCATGTGCAATATCTGACTCGAATGTGAGCATGATTTAGGATTGAGACTATGGCAGAGAGGAAATTTACCTCTTTCTCTTCTTAAGCTTTAGATCATGTGGAATATTGCACACAAATTGTATTGGCTGCTTTTATGGTGCTTTTTCATCATTCTTAGAGCTCAGCATCTTCAGACCTTATTTATTTTTGTTTTATAATTGACGAAGGAAGAGATGCACAGTTTGACGTCTACGGTCTGTTGTATGTAGGATTGATAAACATACCAAACACAAAATTATCTGGCCTGAAGATTTGTCCAAATGGGCCAGAACGGACTGAATCCATGGTGCCAGGCTCAAGGTCCACCAGGATGGCACGAGGAACAAATTTTTTTCCTGTGAAATAAAATAGGTTTGGCGTAAACATCCAAAGGTTGAAACATGATTCAGAGTATCATATACATGAATTTGAAAAATTCATATAATGTGAATTCACAACTAATTATGAATGCATTATTTAATTCCCCCACTACTTTGGGATCATGTCTGTATAGCAACTGCTGACCCTCTTTAAATAAATGCATCATCATCTATCTTTCCTGCCATGCTCCACCCTTTTGAGAACAGCAGCAGCAAGATACACGGTTTTCTCTAGAACCATAAAGACACATCTGGGTGTTCTGAATGATTGTGCTAGTATCCCACAATGTTTAAATAATGCATTCGCATAGGGTTATGATTGATGTTTGTTTAAAACCACAGAAATGCAAGACAAATTTGTCATCTTTTAATCAAACCATGGACAAAACGCTGAAGTCGGGTGAAACTTAAACCAATCTGAAATTGAAAATCTATAATGTAGCCTATAAGATGGAGGCCAGATGGGCCTCGCCTCTGTAATCGTCAATAACAGACAGCTGTGGTCTACAAAACCCATCATCTGCACCCCATGACCTACTAAATGCATACAATATATCTAATCAAAAACTGACTGGCACATCAAAATACTCAATGCAAATACAGATTCACATATTGCTTACCAGATGCCTCATTGTAATAAACATTTATCCTCTCCAGCTGCAGTTCACTGTCTCCTTGATAACTGCCGGTGGGGTCGATCCCGTGTTCATCACTGATCACCTCCCAAAACTGAAATGCACAAAATGTCTCACAAGTGAATGCTGAATACATCATGGCCGTTCACATTTGCTACGTTATGCAATGATACAGCAGACTGATGTACTGAACCCTGTCCAGAGCCACTGCAGACCTCTACCACACCCATTCAGAACAGATGCCGCATAAAACACACTTTCTTGCAATTCATAGTGGGGGAAAAAAGCGATTCGTAACGACACTTTTCTTTGCATTCTTTCTTTTACAGTAAAACTGCGTGATATCTATATAATCTTACCTTGGCACCAATCTGGTTTCCGCACTGTCCGGCTTGAATATGCACGATCTCCCTCATTGTGCTGCTGTAAGGAAAGGATGCGGCGTGTGTCACTGCTGCTGATGCGGCTCTGCCTCTCTGTCTCTGATCGGAGAGCTCTCTCGCCGGCAGCCAATCACGACTCGCGGGTTTGATGCAGTGGACGTGCCGCAGCATCGCGTGTCTTTCCGTCACACCGACGCGGTGACGCTCTGAGAATGCTGACCCTGCGTTCACGTGAAAACGCCATAACACGCACGCACGCACGCACGTATTTACTCAGTGCAACTTATAACATCCAAGTGAAAGATTTAACACCAACATGCCAGAAAAAAAAAAAAAAAAACAGAATCACGGAGCTGGAAAAAGGATACTTTTTCCTTTTAGTATCCTTCTAAAAGGATAATTCGGAGGTTCCGAATTAGTAACCTCCGTTACTAATTCAAAAACGTCACTTTAGAGCTACTTTAGAACGAAGGAACGTCGAGTTGCTTCATTGAAAGCTTATTGTATCACTGTATTAAAAGCTCACTGTATTGAGTCGAGTATGATGAGAGAGAGATGGACTGAGCGAGTGTGATTACCTGCATCAGATACAGCATTCATTCTTCAGCTCAATCTCATATTCACAATAAAACATTAGCGTGAATGTCCATATAAAAGTCTTTACTGTTGACTCACTCATAAAAACATTCTCTTGTCGTCATCTAATGGTGGAATAATGTAACTAAAATCACTATCACGAGCACACACACCGTTTCTCAATACTAAATACTATTATTAAATACTATCATTATTTATATTAAATATTATTTATTTAATAATAATATTTAATAACAACAACAGCCATCATAAAAAGTTGCTAGGCAATTCAGTCAAAAGTACAAAGGCAGCGCTCTTATATACAGCATTAAAGTTACATAAAAAAATAACGTAATTTGATTTTGCTCTCATCCAAAACTATTTGCTCTGGAACAAATAATAGATTAATGAGACCAAAGATTGCATTAGATTTACCCAAAACAAATTATATCTAATGTTTAACCACTATAGAGACATCAGAGCCAGAAGATCTGGCCGAGGTGAGGCTGCTTTCGGCGGGTTCATCAGCGCTGAACGGCCGCTGACGCCCTGGAGCTCACATCTCCCAAAACTATTTGTAATTAACAACGCAGCAGTGGCTTTAACTGGATAGGCTAACAAAAACATTAAAATGCAACAACACTTACATCGTCATCGCATTTCGTGCGCCACTTATAAGGCAGCCTCCTTACTTAAAACTTAAAATTCGAATGCAACGTTTTTGCATTCAAATGTGGATTTTTATTTTAAATTCGACGAATATTCAAAATTCAAAATTTTTTTGACAGCCCTACATGGCGCTCATGTGCGAGATGCTGCACAAAACACGAGACACGAGCGCAACGGTCATACACGCCCATCTAGCACGCTTACACAGAAAAACTATGGAAAATAGCACATTGGAATGGAAAACGTGTTCTGTGTGAACGACCCCTAAGAAGGCTGTTAAAGTAAGGAGAGTAAAAACCCTTTGAGCATCGACCGTTATAGTTGTTCCCTTTCAGTCAAATCCTTTTATACCTTCTCCTTGCATTGCCATTCTCGGGTCATGGCTGCTGGAAAATAAAAACACTTCTAGCAATGACTGGCATGAGCTCCCACGACAAGAATTGCTTCTTGATAATGAGGCAGCCCACCAAATCACGTGGAGCGAATGTGTCCGTCATGAAGACGTCTCCCCATTGGCAGTATTGGTTTCTGTGATGGGCAAGTCAATGTCTGTAGGTGTACCTGAGTCAATAGGCGAGGAAACAGTCAAGTTCGTCATAAGCGGGTGGCTGGATTCTGTAACAGAGTCAGTGGCATGAGGTGCAGTCGAACTCACAGTAGCAAGAAGAGTAGTACTATTACTTAAGGTTGGCTCCAATACGGCTGGTGAAGGAGGGCCAGATTCTATGGAGTTAATCGCAGGTTGGGCAACTAAATGTAACAATGGAGCGCCGGGATCTATGGGTGAAGAAAAGGATTGAACTGGGATGGCATTAACTTGACCAGACTGGTCCGGTATTGGTGGTAAAGACAGTTCTGTTGGGGAAGAGGTGACTAGGTGAACAGGAGAGTCTATTGAGGAAGAGGGAGGAATGTCATTTAAAGGCGGAGTGGGTGATTGTCCGGTGGATGGATCAGACAAGTTGATTGTGCAGAGAGGAAAGGTTGGGACAGGACCTGTAGAGCCCACTTCAGTTAGGATGTTGATATCGTTAGCAACCGGCAAGGGGAATTCAGCTGGTGTAACTATATCTAAAAGCGAAGGAGTTTGGAGATCGGAAGAAGTAGAGGACTCGAGGGTAGGATCAGTGATCGAAGGAGTTTCCACAGTTGAAGAAGGCAGAACGGCTGTAGATTCTGTTTTAAGTGTCTGAATATAATTAATAGCGATTGGGGTAGAAGTGTTTGGGATAGAGGCAAGGAGAGGATCCTCTACGGATGAGGCAAAGGTTTCCGGCATGGATGCAGATTGCTTGATTTCATCTTGCTCTTGGGTAGAAGTCAATGTCTTCATACTGAATAGCTCTGCCTGGCCGGGGGCATCAATGAGCATCTGAAGATCGATGGCGGATGAGGCAGTAGAGTCCATAGTGGAAACAGCAGTGGCAGCTGCTTCGTGGAGAGGCGTGTCGCCAACCCTTGCATACTCGCGGCTCTCGGACTTGGTCAGCAGAAGCAGTTGCTCGCCCGGTTTGCGAGGTGGCAGTAACGGTTGGCGGGTGTAACTTTCACCGTCCGCTAACGTTTCTGGTAGCGGTCGATTGCGAGTCTCTGGCAGCAGCAAGATGCAAATGATGCAGATAAGAGTGCAGCAGGCGAAAATGATGTGATGCAGAAAATAGCCTTTTTGGTTATGCAGCTCCATGATGGGTGCCGTCAACATGCCAAAACCAGCACTGGCCAGGACAAGGCCTAGACCGCCACCCCTAGACAGCACACAAAGAACAAGGACAAGCTATTTATCAAAACACTGGCCTTAAATATCAAAGGGTTTTTTAGTCACATTTTACAACTGAAGATTGATCTAGCATAACTGGAATAAAAAGCAACTTTGAAGTGCTAGGGTCAGTTATACCCAGATTGGGGAAATTTTCAAATTGGATGCAAATTTCATAAATATATGTCCTCATCAGTGTTGGGGGTAACGCATTACAAGTAACGCGAGTTACGTAATCAGATTACTTTTTTCAAGTAACTAGTAAAGTAACGCATTACTTCTTAATTTACAAGAAAATATCTGAGTTACTTTTTCAAAAAAGTAACGCCAGTTACTTTGTTTTCCCATGTATTGACTGACAGCTCTCCTGTCCTCATATTGGGAGAAATCGGAAGTACAGAGGCGTTGTGTGCGCTGTGTGAACATGATGGTAGTTCTAGACTAAATGTGAATGTGCATTAATTCATCCCACTCGCAAAAACAGATTTATTATTAATCAAAATGAATTAAAACAGTGAAATGCAAACTCAGAATGCTCATATTTAAAAAGTAACGCGAAAGTAACGCAAAAGTAACGTAACACATTACTAAGTAGCGTAATTAGTTACTTTTTTAGGGATTAACGCAATATTGTAATGCATTACTTTTAAAAGTAACTTTCCCCAACACTGGTCCTCATTATGGTACAAACAAGAAGATCTTTGACCTTTTTAATTTCTTTCCCATAAAGTCGCCCATGTGGTTTGGCTCACCTAATCACAGTAGGGGTCACTTCAGCACATAAAAAGATGCTTAGGTTGCTGACAGCGTGGGAGGAGAACATGCCAATGATGGAGAAAGCCTTTGAAAAGTTGGAGTTCAGCGTGCCAGAGCTGTCTGTGGGGAGTGAGAAAGACAACATGGGGAGTCATTTTATTATTTATTCCTCAAAAAGATACATCACATATGCAGCACAATTTAAAAATTATGTATAACTCATGGAAAAGTGTTTTCAACACATATGCATGTTCATACTGAATAATATTGACCATTTTTTCAATGTTTTTATTTTCAATTATTCTTGTGTCCATGGCACAAGCTTATAAAAATTGGCAAAAGCCCATAAAAATAAAACTCAATTGTCAGGAGGACAAATGTATCACTCATCTACTGTAGCAACCTGGATAACCCACTCTAGAGCATAGAGCTACATCAGCAGATTGATGTTTGAAGACTTTTTTGCACATTTTTGCACATACTGCTCACTTTCAAATTATAACCTGGACTCTTTCTTTTTTCCTCATTGCTGGGTCATAATCTTGTTGCAAGGTCCAAATAAAGCTCAGCTTTCAGACATTGGATTTAAAAAATAAAAAATAAAATAAACAAACCAATAAAGAAATGTAGTACTATTGCAATAATACTATTGTATTGTAAAATATAATGAGTATGAGTAAATATGAATATTTAATAATAATAGTTGTTATTATTATTATTGAAATATTTTCTTATTAAATTACAAAAAATAAATGAAGAAATAATACTTTAAAATAAAAAAGTAGTATTTAATAATAATAATGTCTTCATTTCTTTGCTTTCAAACATCAAACTGTAGAGGTTTTTATAGCTTTTCTTTTGGTGACAACAGATTTATAAACTATTCTCATTATGAATTTGGGAAGATAGTCCATGTCATAAGGGAGTATAAATGAACACAGTGCTGTGCTTCGCTCTGCAAAAATATATCACCCTTCATATACTCGCAAACATTTTTATTTGCATTTTTCGCTTGCTGAGTGTTAATTTTGGACACTGGCTGAGACGCTAAGGGTGTTTTGCACACACTAGATGGCATCACAAGCTTGTGCAATGCTGTTGGATGCTACACTATCCATGCGTGAAATAAAACCTAATAAAATAAATAAATAAAATCCCCCCCCTTGAATTTACACAATTCATGCGGGTCATACTTTAAGTCGGAAAATACGGAAATACAATGGAAAAATCACATCTCTGGATACTGTAGATCCCTGTCTGTGTAAAGACAAGAGGACATAACAGCCCCTAGACTCCGTAGAAAGGACAATCATTGCAAGCAGGGAGACAGACCACAGCTGCCCTATTGAAACATCCCGTGGGGTCAGTATAATTTGAACAACTACAGTAGATATGTGAAACAGAAGGATGAAAGAATCCTCCTAAAAGGAAACGCTAAGATCAAAGGATCATAGGCATCTTTTGCCAACAAAAACCAATAAAAAATTGCTTACAGAAGGCATGTAAAACACAGAAAAAGCATCTTCAATCTGCTGTTCTTCATAACTTATTCCATACATATACCATAATATAAATTTGAGCTGGGATATATAAACACTGCCATGGATGTATCAGAATTACACACTCCAGACTGTAATTTATATCCAAAATTATGAAAATATTTGAAAAGTGTAAATGAAGTGCATAAGAGCGGGAATAAAGTGTTTCACGGGCATATAACTGATATTAATATAATTGGATGTGGTGTCCTGGTGTGCAAATAGCTTCTGCCTTTATTGTTTGTCACTTCCTTGCTTTGCACTTGAGATTAGGGTTAGTACTAGTTGTTCAGTATTAAATTGTGAACCACAAGCCTCACGTACAAAATTAACAACTGTTTTCAAACTGGTTTCTCGAACAACCCAGTCTGCCATTGGTCAAAGGCGTATATAATCTATACCCAAACTCATTGCATTAGTTAGAGTTCATGTTGCGGTGGCAAAACACACACACACACACTCTCACACACACACACACACACACATGTTGTGTTTCCATGTTTTATGGGGACATTCCATAGGCGTAATGGTTTTTATACTGTACAAACTGTATGTGCTATTGCCCTACACCAACCCTACCCCGAACCTACCACTTACAGGAAACTTTGTGCATTTTTACTTTCTCAAAAAAGCTCATTCTGTATGATTTATAAGCTTGTTTCCTCATGGGGACCTCAAAAATGTCCCCACAAGGTCAAAATTTACTAGTATTACTATCCTTGTGGGGACATTTGGTCCCCATAACGTGATAAATACCAGGTACACACACACACACACACACACACACACACACACACTTACTCTCACTCACACACACACACACACACACAC